ACATACATACATACATACATACATACATACATACATACATACATACATACATACATACATACATACACACGGACAGATACAGGCGAGCACATGTGTCTCTTTGTGTGTGTGTGTGTGTGTGTGTGTGTACTTGCGTAAAGTTGATTGTCTTCACCTGCGTCTTGCCAACCGCCTAGCACGTAGCAACCTGTCTCGCAGTCTGCTCAGTCCGGGGTCTACACTCCCTCGGGTCCAACGGCGTCCCGACGACAATCGGCCGAGTTGCCCCCGCGACAAGACGATCCGACAAGCCGTCCGTCTGCCTCTTCGGTTGTCGGTGCATCTTTTGATCGTGGTTGGGCTTTCCGGGTGGGCGCCGGAGAAGACGAGACTGGAGCCGTCGGGGCAGGTGGCGGGCGGGTGGTTGACGGAGGAGCGGAGGAGCGGAGGAATCGAGGGCTCGAGGCTTGGCCGTGTCTGGGGCAGAAGCGACCGATGGGGCAAAATGGGGTAGGGAGAGGTGTGAAGGCCTGAGGGGAGACGAGACATTGGCAGGCCGGGCGAAGATGGGGATTGCTGTTTTGGCCTCGCGCTTTTTCAGCTATTTCGGAGATGTCTGTAAGTGGAGACGCTTGCATTTATGCATATCTACGCGTGTTTGTCTGTTGAAAGGGGAAGCTGAAGCCTGAGAAAATGCGAGATTCTGGCCAAGTTGGAGGTGATGGCTGCTGCAAGACGAGGACGCAAGAAACCGGATTTAGGACAGTCGTCTCGGCCGAATGGGAAGCGAGCCCAGCCCAGCCCAGCCCAGCCCAGCCCAGTCCAGTCCAGTCCGGCCAAGTGCAGCTAAGCCTAGCCAGTTTGGACGGTCAAAACGAGGCTTCGCTAGGCATCCCAACAAAAGAACAGAGTTGTTGTGAACTTATTACTTTATGAAGACTTCGGAGCCTTGATAGTTTTCGGGTCACCGCCGTGACGGGCTTCGAAAAAGGCCCTGCAGGCAATTTTAAAGCCCTCCATCTTCTTAAAACAAATCTGCAATCTACCCCCTAGACAACTCTATGCCTCAACATCTGTCTGTAGTTATGTATGTATGTTTGTCCATATGTCTATCTGTATGTCCGTCTGTATGCCTGTCTGACAGTGTGTCAAAATGTAAGTCTGTGGCAGATTGTAAACAGTCTTGGCGACCATTGGATTCAAAGAGGAAGAAAAGGCGCTTCATCCTGGCAGGAAAGAGAACGGGGTAAAAGAGGAGTCGGCG